TCCTTCGATATACAGTTAAAAGGACGAACAAAACGTGTGCCATGCTCAATAATACGTAAATATTTGTTCAAAGGGTTCCAGCATATGCTGATAGCGCTTTAATATAATATTAAGGCGGGAAGGTCGAATTATTAGCGACGAGTATACGCGCGTTCAACGAACGAAATTGAAGTTGCTTCGGGAAATGTGATAGTATACAGGGGGTATGCTGGAATCAATTTTCCAGTTGACAAATGATAACGTTCTTGATTATGCTTAGAATGTTGCCTTCATATTTGGGGGGGGGGGCATAAGTACGCAGTTATTATCAATGAGACCTGGAAGCAGCAGACGAGTACAGTATATAGGTTCCGTAGAAACGACATTTTTATTATGCTAGAATGATAGCTGTAGATTACCGAGCCCACAGTCGGAGTGAGCGACATCTTCTCAAGCTTTAATAAACCTTGAATCCGATCGTCGTAACGGTAACGCTGATCGTGTCATTTGACGCCTGCCTGCCATACCTCAGTGTCGAACAGCTGAAGAGTCGAAAGTGATTACGTGAGTCAGCGGAGATGATGCGAATCCGCGGCCCTCAAGTTTCGGATTGCAGCTACAGTATTGTACTAAAAGTATAGTATTGACAATCGCGAACATTCTTTGATAAATGCACACAGCAGCCTGGTTACGTTTTTCAGGATTCTGACACGTGAGCTGCCTGCTGCAACGCCTATATATACGACGGTGGATATTGCTCAGCTAGGATGAAATTTGAATTCAAAGCCAAGTGTTCCGGGTCAAAATGTCTCATAATAAATGTTATAGAAAGATGGTGACCGGGTATTTCGTGTACAGTATAGAGGTTCGAATTGAAAATGACTTCGGCGCGCACGATCTCACAAACCAGGCAATTATCCCCGCACCGTAGATCCCCGAACAAATTCGAGGATTTCTACTTCAAAGGAGAACCCAGCAGCATGTATGATACAATACAAAGAAAAAGGCGTCAATTCAACCGAACAACGAAGGAAACAGCTGCAAGTAACTAAGTAAGTGATGGACACGGAAGAAAATAATGGACTTCGTGATCGCCGATTAGATCTCTCCCAATTGAAAGCGCTCAGACTATTCTTATCATTCTCCCGCGGAGGGGCATTGAGTATTCAATGTATACTATATTTAAAATTCTTCCACTCCTTGAATGATCTTCAGAAACAATGCATATTATTCTATCCTACAGTGCAGTGCATTAAATTGGCGAGTCTTCGCAGACTCTTTATATTCGGCGTGCCTTGTACAGTCGCGCTCCTTCCTCTTCGTCCTTCGGGAATAGTGTTTCACGTTTTGTTTTCTCAGCTCTTACTGTTGCTTTAATTAAGCGAGCGGGGGAAAATGAAATCAGTATAGAATAAGTTGTCCTTGTCCCCTGATAATAGAGGATGTCAAGCAAGGAAGCCAAACATATCGAGCGTCGCCAGAACTGGATCCGCGCTTCTTACAGCACGAACCACAGACATCCTCTGTTTTCTATACTGTACTGTATAGGCGAATAGACCAAACGATATAGGATGCGATCAGTGCGCCAGCTGTGCGTATTTCGACCCTGAAGAAAGATCAGGGATTTTTTCTTTTTGATGACGACATCAGAATAAAATTGAAAACATTCACCGTCTCAAAGCAGTGGCTTAGAAAGGAAAGAACCCCCTCATACACTCATCATCCGATTCATCCCTGCTGAGGGGAGCTGGGCGTAAGATTTGGGTCCGGCACCGCGTTCACTCATTTATGGGCGCGGTATTTTGATTGATTATTGTGACACCGTGCTAAAAATTCACATAACTCCGGAGAATTATTGTTTGATTTCCAAGTTCTTCAATTTGAATTGTGGATTTTTTTTCGCAGGGGTATGGTAAAGAATTATTTGAATATTACCAATAAGACGTGCGGAACAGGTACTGTACTGCAGGACTTGGACCGGATGCATCACATGGACTATATACAGGGTCAGCCAAAAAAAAAGTGAACTAACTTTTGACTTGAAATAGCCCTGCAGCAAATTGAGCCGTGGCTATGAAAATAAACACCAAATGAAAGCTTGTTTAATTCTCTTTCAAATGGTATAAACTTATTGTATGTGGTCCCAAGTGTAATGGCTGTAACAAGAACCATTTGAATGAACACTTGAAAAAAAGTTTGCCGGTGAATTTTTCCACTAAGCTGCTGGTCTTGAGAGCTGTTTGCATCAATGAATGATACGAATGATGCAAAAATTTAATTCAGAAGCATGACAGGAACTCTGCAGTATCTTATCTTGCCAATTTTCTTCCCCATGTTCAGACCCCTCTGTCTGAATTTTTGGGAACATGTGCAGGCTCTCCAAGTTTGCTGGTTACATTATTGCAGCATTTGTTTCCTTTATTCATGCAAACAGCTCTCCGGATCAGCAGCTTAGTGGAAAAGTTGCCTGGCAACTTTTCTTGTTGGAAGTTTTCATTCAAATGGTTTTTGTGACCATTCTGTGGCACTTGGGACCATACAGTTTCAAACCATTTGATCTCATTCATCTCATTTAATCATGGACATACATTTAATTGCTCTGCAGGAGCCAATTTACGAACTGTATTAGCGCTTTGATCAGCTTGTAAAGGAGCGTTCTGCAGAGTCACGCAATAATCAAGTGTACAGTATACTGCACCTCTTTAACAGATTAGGGGTTTTGAGTTGGACAGGTTAGGGAAATAACTACAGTGCTGTATACAGCTAATAATGCTTAGCACTGGAAAAAATTGCGTTCAATAACATTACTGCGGAAGATAATTACGCAAAGGCGGTGGCATAATTTCAATAAACCACTTCTGTCCCCTTACCCACGCGCGGCAGAAATTTGACCAGTCAACTTCGAGCTTTAAGCCTAGATGACGCTGCCTGTATGTTCTCGCATCCCACATGAAGCAGGAACCATGGACATTGCAAGGTGGTACAGTAATTTATGTAGGCAACTAACTAACCACTGATTTCATGCTTAGGGGAAGAAAGCAGAATTGAAAGACATGGTACTTGGTGATATTAATTTGTCTTTGAATTGCTTCTTAAATAACTTGACAGGGTGCTGAAATTGAAGGGAAGGGTTAATTTGCCCGAATTGTCATCTACTTCCTTTCAAAACTCATCCTTGCACATTTTTACTGCTTTTCTCTGTCCTATGTCAATACAATATTATCCCAAATGGCGTCCGGAAGATCCAAGTTATGCAGATTTTCAGGGGAAAGCCTTTCGAGTCTGTAAGGCTCTTCAATCCATTGATTCTATAAGGGCTTTAAGAGAGGGGCTTGAAGGAACCCAGGTGCAACACTGCATACAGTATCACCCACAGTGATCACATAATGCGTTCTGCCGTGCTCTCTATTAGCATGCCTGTGGTACGACATTCTCCGTAACACCAATTTGGCATACATCGATTCCCTCTTTCGCAGAATGCAGTCAACTTATAAAAAGCGAGTTAGGACACAGAAGCGTGATAGGACGACGGTGAAGCCACAAATTTATGTCAACATTTGCCCCCGAGTCCAAAAATTTCGTGGTTCAACAAAGCGTGTCAGGCAGGGAAACGGCACGCGTGACTTAAAAAATAAATAATCATCACGCTTCGAAAAAAACCCGAACGCAGCCCTGCATCAAATGCGCCGACCGTGCTTGCCACAAACACGAACGCAGACGACAAAATCAACGAAAAAAAAAAAGAAATGAATAACTAGGCTCGGAAACCAGATAAAACCCGAGTTCATTAACATCAGGTCGTGAAGGTATAAAAAAGTCGCAAAATATATATCGGAAGACGGGCCCAATAAAACAACATGAAGAGCACATGAATGGAACCCAGCTTCCAACGCCAAGACCGCGAATACACCGAAGTAAAAAGATCGAAGAGGTTCCCCAAAAATACGAGCGTCAACTGTAAAAAAAAATTCCACTAATCCAAAATGAAGGACCACTAAAAATATTTCTAAAATCTCAGGAATCAAAATCAAGAGGTTTTCAACGAGTCCTGAAGTAAAAATGATATGTCTTTCGTTCCATGTCGGACTCAACAATAGCACTTTCAAAAAGCGTTCAGTTAAGCAGTATAAACCACGCAGGCAGTTTTTTAAACAGGTGAAAATTTTTTCCACTATAAACTACGGTAATACAGTATACACAAGAACAGAGCTTCCAATTCTAAAAAAAAAGAAAAAAAGGCAGTCGATAAGCGAATCAGAGGAAGCACTGTCAACATTTATCCCGTAATAATTAAAGTATTTCCACAACAGATTTGTGTGGGATCGACCGCATTTTCAATTTTTTACTTCCCGCAATGCTAAATTTTCCGCACAAAAAAGGATAGATATTTCATGAAGGTTCTTCAATTATGCACAAGTTGGATTTTTTATATTAGGTAAATTATTGAAAAATTTCCGTGACCTGAAGGCGAAAGTTAAATTAAAGGATTAAAGAGGAAAATTACTTCGTTACACATTTTTTTTATACCTGACAATTCCCAGGATCAAGAAAAAAATTCGTCATGAAGAGATTTGCTTCAACGGAATTTGGCTGTACCATAATTACCCCAGTATATTTCAGTTGAATATAAATTGAACCCTGCCTTGTTTTCGGGGAAACTAAAAAAAAAAAAAAGCAAAGATACACGACAACACTGATGGCATCACAGTGCAGAAAAACAAAATTCCATCGCAATCCTAGCGCAGAAAATATACAACATTTTAGATGAACATTATTTGAACCCTGCATTATTTTTGGGGAAACTCCGCACACACAAGAAAAAGATACACTACAACAACAATAATGATGGCATCACAGAGCAGAAAAACAAAATAAGATCATCGCAATCCTGGCGCAGAAAAGAAAAGCAAAATAATCTCTTTTGCTCCCACAGAAGACAGAAAAAAGGGACAGAAATCAACCGCCTAAAAACAAAATTAAACAAAAAAAAAGTCCCAAGAGGGGGGAGACAGAACGAGGGGTTATTGTTTATCCGCCAGCGTTTCCTTGCCAAGGAGGGCCGCGTGTTGTCCACCGGCAAACACGCGGAGCGGAACAATGGAACCCAGGTTGACTTCTTCCGGCTCCACGCAGTCTTCTTCCGTGTTCCGGGCCAGTTGCAGCAGGGTTTGATAGCCCCAGGAAAACAGGGCAAACTTATCTTCACTGCCGCCCGAATCCTTCTCCCGACTCTTGACCACAGCAAAGGACACGATCTCGTTGGCTGCCACGTCCGTCACGATCCCGTCTTTCCAAATGCCCGCAAACAACGGATTCAGGTGGACGGGTTCGACAATGGTCGCTTCGTCCGTTTCCACGCCGCAGAAATCCTTTGATCCCACAGTATAGGCGTTTCCTGCAAATAAAAAAAAAAGTTTTTTCTTTTTGAGACACTGTAAAATTCCGAATCCTAGCTTAGCATTCCACAAGCTCTAGAGTTTTAGATCATTGTTTCCCAACCTTTTTGGGCCTGTGAACTTCTGCTTTTGAAAAAAAAAATAATAATTAGGAACCGATGCAGCAGCTTCAGTGGATTTTCTTTTCAAAATTAGAAACGTGGGCTTGAAGAGAGGTTTCTCATAAGGAAAAAATTTAAATAATTTATTTCAGCAGGTGAAAATTTGTCTGAAGTACTGTATTACTAGAAGAAAAACCAACATTTTTTTCATCTGATAAATTTCAACTGCGTTTGTCTTTTCAAAATTTCAGATGAAGATAACATACTCCATTACTACTTTTGATAAATGTATTCATCTAAAGAAAATTTCCCACAGACCAATAACAGACTTCTGTAGACCATTAAATTTATAAAAACTTAAACTTGGGGGAAAAAACCCTGTTCCAGAACATAAATTATATAAATCCTAGTTGGGCTAGGTTGTGTTCTAGAAAGTGTTCCCTAACGTTTTTGGGCTCACTGACAGGCACATTTCCATATAATTTTTTTGCAGTCTGGCAAATTAAAAAAAAAACTTTCTGCAGCACAGCAAATTTTCATAAAATTTTTGCCAATGCAAAAAGTATTGCTTGAAAAAAATTGAAAGACTTTATGGCAGGTATTTGAACAGTTTCTGCTCCTTTAAAAAATCAAGTTAATATTTAATGAAGCAGCTATAGCAGGATATCTTCAAAAAATCAGAAAGGAGGGCTTGAGTGAAGGTTTCTCAGAATGAAAAATTAACACTGCATAGTTAACTTCAGCAAGTGAAAATTTGTCTGAAACGTTATTTGGAGAAGAGCCAACCTTTTATTTTTCAGATAATTTCAACTGCCATTGTCTTTCCAGAATTTCTGATAATGATGACAGATTCATTGCTACTTTTGATAGATGCATTATGCTGCAGAAAATTTGCTAAAGACCACGGGTTGGGGAACACTAGCTTAGTGCATTAATGTCTTGAGTACACTAGAATAGTTTGACTAAGGTATCTGTGAGATCAATAAGGTGTCAAATAACTGCAGTTGAGTAACAATGACTGTAGTGAGGAGCATAAAAAAAAGGTAAAAATATCAAGGCCAAAATCAAACAATAAAATTTTTTCAAAAATAGCAACGCTTCATCCGCGTAGAAAGGAATTCAAGTATAAAAGCGAGTCTGAAAAATTCAACAACATAAAGACCAAGTGAAATCAATACAAACTCTCGAAAAAGAATTCCGCGAGGAAAAGAAATGCGATGGTAAAAGAAATTATACTCTACGCACTTTGTTTCAGATACTATTCCTGGCACCTCTCTCTCTGACCTAACGCCACCGGTCTCATTTCTTCTACGTGATGTTTCGTTTGCCAAAAATGTTTCCATCTCGAATTCTAGACAACGGCGCAGTTACCGAACGTCAATGGTACACAAACAATTTAACTCCTCGACGAGGTAAACAAAACTGCAAGTACGCATACATTCATAAATGAAGTTTCAATGTAAAAATATTAAATTTTGATTTCCCCTGTAAGAAATAAATACAGATACAGTGAGACACCCACATGCAGACACCTTGACCTGCAGACACGGGCTTGAGCAGTTGATTGAGCTTCGGGGACTCCATTCCAAACGGAATTCGCCAGCCCGTGCTGTCTCTCGACGTACTTTTGTCCAATGCCAGACCCAGTTGCCCGACCTTGTTGTTTCCGCACGCAAACAACTTCCCGGAATTCTTCTCCCGGAAAAACGTGCCGAACGCAGTCGCGAAACACGCGTCAAAATGTCTCCGCTTGCTAAAACGCACCTCTTGCGGCGTCAACGCTTTTTCTGCAAAAAAAAAGAAGAAAAAAAGAAATTTAAATGAAATAAAATCACAACATTAATTCTTATCTCTCAGCGAAAATTGAGGAACGATCCGAAAAGTTTCGGCTGACCGTGTTGAGTTTCGGGTGCATGGATGAGGACTGAAGCAATTTCTTAATTTCTACAGAAACTGCTTTGATCATTTGATGACCATACACAAAAATCTTCTCACCCCGTTCGAAAGTGCACACGATACATTTAAAAACGCACCCGAACACAGTGAGTTCCCGCATAACGAAAAATCCGCAAGAAGAAAATTCTAAGGGGGGAAAAAGTGACTCACGAGAACAAAATTGTTCAAAGCATTTTTTTGTGGACCAAAATGCTGAAATTTGATTGAATTTCAATATATTCAATGTCGACGAGAGAATTTAAAAAAAAAACAAAAAAACAAGATGAGTAGAGTACAGTTTTGCTTCCTGCATTTAAAATTCGAGAAATCCAGGGTTATGCGCAAGAGTTGTCAATCTTCAGCTGAAAAAGACACACATTATACGGTTTATTGTGGTTTTTTTCGAGAGGGTTCGAAAAAAATAAAATATTTTAGCGGAAAACGCGTTCCACATAACGTAAGTTCTGCGAACGAAAACTCAAGCACGGTCGAAAACGTTTCGTTTCGCGGGGACCCACTAATGTACATCGTGCAATAATACAGGATAAATAATGACCTGATAGAGAATGTCTCCAATCTAACGACTATAACACTTTCCAATGAAAAAAATATCCTCCTAATCTTGGGAAGTTTTCGTCAACCTAATCATACTCAAGGGTAAAGATTGTCCAAAAATATCCAAGGCGAGCAAAAATTTATCCTACGTAAATTAAAGAAAATCCTCAACAAACGCTGCAAGTCCCAGTAAAAATCGCATGGCTCTGTATCATGCAATTTTTATGCACACATTAAAAACTTTCTCTCTATATAAAAAAAAAAGCTTCGAAGCCACAACAATTTTTTTCCCCTTTTTTTTCGGGAAACTCACCAATGATTCGATGACCAGGATCACTGCATTGTCTGTCCGGGATTCTGCCCAGCTGACCCCCGTCGTAGGCGCCTACAGTGAGGGCTACTCCCGAAGCAGTCACAAACGCTACATGCGCGTTTCCACACGCCATACTAATGATATGTCTATCAGCTTCTGAACTGCCGCCACTGAGCTTCGGCAATGGCAACTCGGTTGGCACGGATTCCGTCACTCCCACTTTCTTGAGACCCATAGCTCCATCTATACCCTGCAACAAGCACGAAAGAAAATATTGAAAAAATATGCACTGGAAAAATGAAAACTTCAAGCTTCACACGAAGTTTCGAAAAAAAAATCAAAACTTGAAGAATTCCTAGACTACACTGCATGAGTTGTATCATATCCAAGAAGGTATGATTAATATACAGTTCAGTACCTGACCCGCCATTTTTAAATCGGTTCCGTAAATGCACCCTGATTTTTTCAGGCAAAAACTCAGATGAAATTCAATCCCCAAGTTAGACATGCACCCGATATTTCGTGACAGAAATTCCGCATTACTGTACTGTACTTAATCAAGTACAGTAACACATGCACCCAGGTTTTTCAGTTGGAAATTTTCACTAAATCGTATCCCCAAGGAAGACGTATACCCCAGTTATAAAGACTCTCAAACTGCAACATTTAAAAAGTAAGAACATCCCGATTCAAATTCAGATGTAATTGAATTTGAACTCAACCGATTTTGAATTTTTTGCATACAAACTTGTTTCTGCTGACTTCCAAAATGTTCCATTAGAATCAAGTTTAACGCACACCTCAATTGCTTAAGCTTCTTGAAAAATTTGTACATGCCTCTGACGCACACCTTTTTGATCCTCTCCATTTTGAGAAAAAAAAGGCGCACATGGTACAGAAGAAAATACAGTAGTTAAAAAAAAAGACACACCAGAATTTAAATCTGGACATGAATTGAAACTGAATTTGATTAATTTTCAATCGTTGGGTAATATCTTTTGTCAAAGTTGGCTCAAAATTCCTCGTTATATAATAAAATATAGTATGACATGCACCTAAAATTTCCGAATAATTGTGAAAATTTCACACCTGCCCACAATCCACACCTCCCCCTTTTTCTGCTCAATTTTGAGAAATGGTGGGTGCGTGTGTGGTACTTGAGGGGAGTACAATACATGAAAAGTTACATGATAATTCTAGTACAGTACAATTGAGCCCCTTTGAGACAAAAACCTCTCAAACCATTTTTTTTTCTTATCCCAAGCATTATCAACTCAAAACCTCTTCAGTTCAAATTTTCTCTCGTTGGTTCCTTCAAATTCGACTTGGAGAGGTCAGACTGTAAAGAATACAGAAGAAAACCCTTTTCCCGTGAAGTCAGTGTCGAACACCGACAAAATACACTCACTCTAAAATTCCCCCAGTAAAAAATTTTCCCCTGAGTCGTCAGGACGGCTGAATGCGAATCACCGCAAGCCACAGACGCCACCTTCATCCCGGCGGGTAAAGATGAAGCAACAATCGGCTGCGGCAGGAAGGCCTCCTCCTCTTCTTCGGTGTGTCTCCCAAGGACGCCTTCATCGTTGCAGCCCATGGACACGAGCTTCCCTTGCAAATTCACAGCCACGGTGTGCAAGCCGCCCAATGCCACGTGCGTGTACTTGGTGCCCGCTGTAACCCGCGCCGGGCGCTTCTTCTCCAGAACGTCTGGACCCAGGCCCAGCTGGCCCATCTCACCGGTGCCCCAAGTGATCAATGTGGCGCCTTCGTCTACTCCTGAACTCTCGACAGGAGCCAACCCCACGTGCTTGGCCTTTTTGACATCCTTCGATACGTCTTGAGGCGCTTTTCTCTGCGAAATAAGATCGCGTTCAACAAACCTAGCTCTTTAATCAAGGACCAATAACTCATTGAAAAAACCGTACCTTCACTGAAGCCTTGCCATTCACAACCTTCAACACTTTCTCCTGCGAAAAAAAAAAAACAAATCGGGTCAGTCTTCATTAAATAATGATCAACCATTAAGTAATTATTTCCTGCTTACTTCTGCCGATGCTGCAGTCAACTTGACTTTGTCTTCTTTAGCTTTGACAACAGGCGCCTGAAAAAATCGTCAAAAACTCATCAGCTAGCGTATAAGTATTGTAAGGCCAACCAATTCATACCTTATTCTTCGCATTTGAAGTTTTCTTGGAGACTGCAACAGACTTCGTGGGCTGAAATTCAACAATAAATTCAAAATTGTTAATCACGAACTCTGGATTTTGATGAGTGTGACTTACCTCGTCAGTATTATTGACAACGGATTGCCTTTTCCGAACCATCGTGGTAAAACCGATATGAACTTGAACACGCACGAAATGCCCTGAAGAGGAGTCCATTACGTTTTTTTCAAAAGGGACACATTCACAGAGAATAAAATGAGAATGGGACAAGGAATGAAATAACACAGATGAGGTTAAAAAGCAAACCGAGCGTCCATCATTTCATTTTTTTTTATATATCCAAAGTGTCGCATAAAGGTTTCTCTCCCACGCGTTGTATCCCTTCACAATCTGTTTGGAATAAGCACAAAAAAAAATCTTCTCACCCCTTTGAGGCACTGACCTCACCCAACGCTTCTACGCGTGGGGACATTTAACCAGTGGGAACTAAAACACAGGAACGCAAGCGTGCAGCGAAACCTGAGAGAATGGATAAAAAGGAACCCTCGATACTGGAACCGACCCACACTAAGCCCAGCGGCATTTAGTATCACAATCTCACTCGATCTTCACGCCCGAAATAATTCTAGGGGAACATTTCTACGCACTCAAAAAAAAAAAAAAAAGACGGAATTTTAGTGGGCAACAGCGGGAGATGAACCAGGGTGTTGAGGTGATGAATCGGTAGGCGCCAGCTTGAGCTCCTTGATTTGCTTGATCAAATAAGCCTTCTCGTCGTTGAACTGTTCGTCCTCACTTCGGTCGGTGTGGAACTTGGTGAGGAAGTCTACGAGCTTATCTTGGTTCCGAAGGAGGATGTCCAGGATCGGCTTTGGTTTGTTCGGATTTGCCACGAATACCTGAAACGAAAAAAAATGCATAAAGGTCAATTCAGAAATCTTACACTAACATCGTCACAACACCGATGCTACATGAATTCAATCCCATGGTTTCAACTGAAAATGGATGGAATACTTTCAAAACATTTCAATAAACTTATACAGTATTCAACGCTCCTCGAACACGTTCAAATCGTAGAACATTCATGCACACAAAAAAAGCGAATTGCATAAGTCATACAAAATGGTGAAATATTCCTCTTCACGAAGTCCCGTTCATTAATGGATATTTTTTTACGGAGTAATAAGACACAATTTCTGATATTCTCTCAACCATTTTTCAATTTTGCTCATCAAATTCAACATGATACGGACGAAAAATTAAAATTCATTCGATCTCCGTATTGCTACAAAAGAACGTTTCATATCGAATTTTCGGTTCTTCGAAGAAGATGTTCAAGAGTTAACGACAGTACTCCAATAGAAAAAAATCTCCTGATCTTGACGTTTTCTGCCCTAATTAATCCGAATATGAAGTGTCAATCGTTACGCAAGACGTTCCCCAAGTAAGGGTGATCATTAAAGATAATTGTTCGCAACAAAAAAAAAAATTTGCTCTACGCCTTTGTATTGACCCACGTTAGATGGATTTTCACTCAGATCGGATACTGAACGAAAACTCATGAATTCATAGAAGTTCAAAAATGTAATTGAGATCTGTGAAGAGTAATTTGAGTAACACAGAAATAGACCTTCGAGATGAAGAGAGCAAAAGATTACCCTACCTCCCCCAAAAATCTCAGGCGATCCCTTGAAATTAATTCAAGACGAAGTATCGGCAAAACTTTCGTATCAACCGTCATATTCTATGCATAAACTCAGGGGCTACTTCGAAGATGCGCACACAGGCGTGTAAATATTTGCTTCTATAGGATCCTGAGAAAAACCATAAAACGCTTAAAGCAAACCTTGAAAACATGGAAGGCCTCGAATTGTATATTCCGACTCTTCTCTTTCAGCATGTTCATCATGAGCTTCAGATTGTCCGGGCTGGAGATGTACCGAGTCATAACTGAAAAGTTGTGACGGTCGAGGAGAAGCTCTCCCAGGAGCTTAAGGCTTTGGCGGCGTGTGACGTAATTCTCTGAATTCAACAACCCTTGATACTCCGCGAAAACGCGATCGTAGTTCTGCTCCAGGAAGTCTGCACAGAGCAACTTGTGCCTTGTTAGTAACTCCTACAAAGTAATTTCAAAATAAACTTGAATAGAGCTCATCGCGGATGAAACAAGATATTTGAACAAACCTTAAACGTTGAGAAGGCATCGGACGCAATATCGAACGTGGAAACTTCCACATATTTGAAAAAGTTGTAGAAGTTTTCGGAGTAAAGCATTATCTTGGCAAGGGTTTCATACCGGCAGCATTCTCTCAACATGGTGCCACAATTCAGAGCAATTTCTTGATGCTCGTAGCCTCTCATCAACGTGAAGAGTATATCGGGATGCGCCATTATATACTCAACAGTGGGAGTTCTGGTGCCGATTTGTCGCCTCAGAACGTTGTTGAAAATTTGGGCTACGTCTTTCTTGCTCTGCAATTGAGCGAACATTTTTGGGCATTAAAAATCCATTCAGGTTACACCACGAAATCCCAGCTAACCTCGAACTCAATCTTGTTCAAATTCTGTATCAGCAGGAGAAGCAAATTAGAATTATATAATTCCTGCGCTAGCTGCGCTACAACGATTTCATTCTGCGGCTCAGCCTCTCCAGTGCCGTACAGCATGTTCTTCATCAGGGTTAGATTTTTCGATATGTCCTCTTGGGCCTAAGCAATGAAGATAGGTTAGCGGAGCAGAACACGAAAAAGCAAGCGAAACTGTTTACCTTCTCGACTTTCTTGTCGCCTTTCTCCAGAGTGTGCAATGCCTCTTTGAGAGCCTTGACGACTTCAGACGGACTTTTCGGTGACTTGCCGAACAGTGGCATCTTGAGCATTGGTTCTGAGGATTCCGAATCAGATGCGCGCGATTGAAGCCCAAGAGAGTTACGGAAGACGAACTAGGAGAAATAATTTTGCCCTGCCTCGCCGTTTTAATAAGTTCAAGCGAACAATATCGGAGGGCGCAATTTTCGGGAATGCTACCACTGTTCCAGGATCAAAATCTTGAGAGAATAATGTATGGTAAAGATACACACTACACGATCTGCACAGGAAACGTTACGAGCATGACCAGGATCGTAGAAAAATTACCATACATGCAAAAATACCAAAAGTCTCGCATGCACACCGCGCTTGTAACTCAACATAAAATTGAGTTACGAAACGATGAATATGTTCTCACACTATCTTCCGGCGATTACGCCATAACATTCATAATCTCCGCACCTAAGATAATAAAAAAATGTAGGCAACGATCACGTGCAATGTAACTTCCTCCAGTCAGCCGGAACACGAGAATCATTACAGGGCGTCATTCAGACTCAATTTCTCAAAAATTTCGTAGAACTTCCGAAACGGCCTCAAAATATTCGCACACATTCCTTCACGACTTCCACGGTCGCGACCTGAATTTCATCTGACAACACAACGGCAACGCCTTCCTTACCGACCCTCTACCGTACAGCCGTACTAATGTACCCACGGAAAGTATATGACTGCCTGCACTATCTTTGTTCAGAAAACCATTCCAACTACTGTATATACAGCAACTCAGTGTTCTTAATAATAAAAATTAAAATAATCTTTATAGTTCCGATTTTATGGTCCCGGAGAATTTTAGATCCTCTCTTTAACACTATCTGAATTGCTGAGATGATTGTCAAAGTACTGTCTGTATGGTGTAAACAAAACGTTGTACACTGCGTATATAGAACTAATACTGTAAATAATCTTGACAATGTATTAGAAAACGACTTTCACTGTGTACAGTGTAAATATACCACGAGTTTCACTTTTTTCAACATTTTTACGCAAATTAAAATTATCACAAATATAATAATATTTTAACAAACGCTGTTACCAACACACATTATTTATTGTTTTAATTGTTCTTGTACTGTATTTTTAATCAAAGCCATGGTATGAGATCAAGAGTTTATTTAGACTGAATGCTAAAATTATTCCCTAATTTAAAATCCAAAAATTTAGCCTGCGCATTTTTAACTTTACTAGACACGTTTTACAATTCCAGGTGAAAATTCCTTTATCTGTTGCTATAGTCCCTCAATTGTTTATGAGCTTATTACCATGCAAAAATAATTTAAAAAAATGCTAATGGAGAAACACCCTGCAGTTATTTTGCGAGTTTTACAATTCCAGGTGAAAATTCCTTTATCTGTTGCTATAGTCCCTCAATTGTTTATGAGCTTATTACCATGCAAAAATAATTTAAAAAAATGCTAATGGAGAAACACCCTGCAGTTATTTTGCGTCTAATTGAGGGAAATTGCCCTATGTATCAGGAGATAAGACAAAACAAATTTTCATACACTCAGAATATGCTGGAATTAAAAAAGGACTATACTTAGCTAATAACTAAAGTCACTTTAAAAAAGTCAGTCATATGAGACTTGAACCTGACATTATCCCATCAGCCATCAGTGTTTCATTCCAGCACCACCAACAAATGCAATGCGCAGCAGTTGTATTGAAGCATGTCCTGCTCAATGCCAGTGAATTTCAGAAACAATGAATAAATGCTTTCCTGCTGTTGTATTCCAGGATTGAGCAACATCCGATAGCATATTGCGTTATCACAGGCCACAAAATGATGTATTGAAACATGTCCTGCTCAATGCCAGTGAATTTCAGAAACAATGAATAAATGCTTTCCTGCTGTTGTATTCCAGGATTGAGCAACATCCGATAGCATATTGCGTTATCACAGGCCACAAAATGTATTGGAGTTTTTGCCAGGCTTTCACTGATAATCAGATCAAACACCAGCATATGTCTGCAACCAGCTGAACCACACATGCATGTGAAAGAATAAGATTTGCCTCATATATATATATATATATATATATATATATATATATTCTGTTCAGTATTTAGAGCCCTATGCTGAAAAATAGATACAGCATTGAGAAAAATCTCTGCTGATTCTTATACAAGTAATGTATGCATTTTACAGGACTGTATTTCCTGAAAAACTATTTTTTACAACAATTTTTTATTATACTGTTACCTCTAAAACAAGTATATTGATGTAACAACAAATCTTACCAAAAGTATAATCATTTCTACAACACAAAGAGTCACAATAAATGTATATCTTCTTGCAATTAGGCTTCTTGCAAGAAATCTTGCTCAAACTACATCTTCTCACATCAATAAATTGTGCAAAAAAAATCTTCTTGAAAGTAAGTTTGTTACAAGATATTGTGTTAAAACAAACAGTAAGTAACCTCAATC